TCTGGTGTATTTTCGTTTAGTGATGGGGATGTATACCTGGACCTCATCTGTGTCAGACAAGCGTCCTATCACTGAACTGCTCTTTAAGGCTGATTCCAGTGCCTCGATTGACCCAGCAGTCCCAGAGACCCCAGGTAATGTCCAGTCCAAGAGGGGGAGGCTGAAAGATGCAGAGAAGAGGACCCACGAAGGAGAGAGGCTACTAGGTCCTGAAGACGGTCAGGCAATGGAGAGACACTCGGTGGGACTTCCCAGGGAAACAGAGGCACATAACTAGTTCTGTCCCTCTGCCTTACTCCCCACCAGCCACAGGTGCTCCAGGCAGCATCCTTCAAGCATCCCAATTCCTTCCGGTCACGTTCGTCCTGATGATCCTCCTAAGCAAGCTCGATGCCAGTCCCTAGGACCATCCAGCTGCAGTCCACTCCAAGCCGTCTCATTTGCACACCCCTGACTGGGTTGGCTTCAAGGCAAAGGGAACCTTGTCCCCTCAAGCGTCCCCTTTCCCTTCCTGGCCCAGTCTGCGAGGACCCATTGAATTCGGTCTGGGGAGGTGGGTGTTGGATGGAGCTCAGAGGATTGAGTTAGAAGCGTCTGTCCTCGGAAAAAAAAGAGATCTGTGATGACTCACATACCACCCGAAGGGAGAGGGAAAGAGGGGCCAGGGGATGAATGGATTGCAAGTCAAAGGGAGGGGCGGAGGAGAGGCGCTCCGGTGCCTCGATTGGCCCGCGTCAATTTCTTCCCAACATCTGCAGTGCGTGGGGTTGAGTGATCCCACCCCAGGGTGGGGGTAGCGCTGCTGCGAGGCTGGCTGACGTTCGCTTCCCGCCTGCTGGGCCGGCTGCAAGCGGTTCATGAATGACTCACCGCATCGTCAGGCTGATTCACTGCTCCGCTGGGGACTCGAAGAGGGGGGGCTGCAGCCCTCTCTGTACGTCTTACCCACGCGCACTCACACGAGCTCATACGCATATGCGGGCAGGTGGGGCTCCGGCAGGGCTTCTTACATGCTAGGGTCATGGGATAATGGGAAGACGATCTGCATCACCTGGGTCGTTGGGGAACAAGCTTGGGATTTCTGTCTACTAATATCCCTGTGGCTATTTCCATGAAAACAACGAAAATTAAATACCATTGTATCTTCAGTTCCTTAGTCAAACTAGCCACATTTCAAGTGCTCAGTAGCCGCGAGGGGTTAGTGGCAACTCCATTGAAACAGTGTATTTCCGAGCCGGGCAGTGGTGGCGCACGCCTTTAATCCCAGCACTAGGGAGACAGAGGCAGGCGGATCTCTGTGAGTTCGAGGCCAGCCTAGGCTACCAAGTGAGTCCCAGGAAAGGCGCAAAGCTACACAGAGAAACCCTGTCTCGGAAAAAAAAAAAAAAAAAGAAGAAGAAGAAGAAGAAAAGAAAAAGAAAAAAGAAACAGTGCATTTCCATGGGCATCAAAAGTTCTCTTGCACAGCTGGTTTATATACACGGAGAGCACATTAGCTGAATCCACCATCTTCTCACACAGCCACACACACAGAGCAATCCTTCCCCTGGCTCCCATATGTGGCCCACAACACACACTTAACATGCAACACCCACCCAGCAACACAACACAAAACTCTGCACGTATCCACTGCCTCTCCAGTCGGCCACTGTCCATAACAAGGCATAGAAACACATGCATCAAACTGGTTCGCATACAACTGTTCACATGATAAAACAGCAACAACAACAAGAAAACCATGAATTCGGGTGAGATGCCTTTGCAAACTTGCCGGAATAGATACAAACCCAAGCCATGTGGTTCCCATAACAATTCCCCACACAAGTTTGCAAACTCAAGTAGGGGGGATGGAATCCGTATTTGCCAAGCCTTTGCCAACGTGCCAGGCACGATGAAGTTAGCCGCTTCGGCGCAGTTCATTTAATCTCACAGAAACCCTGCAAAGACGCGGGATTCTGTTTTCACGGATGAAGAAGCAAAGGTTCTGAGAGGTAAAGTAACTCACTGAAGAGTGCATGCCGGTTAGCAGGAAGCCGAAACACTCCATAGCAGATGCAGCAAACGGTCTTCAGCCCCCACTCCCTACCGTGTGTGTGTGTGTGTGTGTGTGTGTGTGTGTGTGTGTGTGTGTGTGTTTCCTTTGTACTTAAGTAAAACTCCTTCACGACCAATGGCAGCTAGTTGTAGAAGTGGGCCTGGACTTGCCCAACTCATCTGTTCTTTTTTTTTCTGGCAAAGGCATTCAACAAATGCTGTACAGTGTCTTCCACGTACTAAGTCCTCTTTCACAAAAGGTGAACAAGCTGCAAAAGCCAGGCGTGGTGGCACACACACACAATCCCAGCACTTGGGGAGGCTGAGGCAGGAGGATTGCTGCAAATTCAAGGTCAGCCTGGGCCAGATTTTGGGACCCTGTTTCAACTCTCCCCTCCTCCCAAAAGAAAGCAACAAGACCTGACCAAAAGAAGCACCCAGTCCATCAAGGAGTGGAGGAGACCCCACAGAGAGCACAGAACACACAGTAGCCATCAATTACAATGGGAGTGGGTCTGGAATGCTCGGAGGTGAGGACAAGAAAATGTGGGTCTCTCTGGGCAGTTAAAGATGGCTTCCACGCCTTTAATTCCAACACTCGGGAGTCAGAGACAAGGGATCTCTGTGAGTTTGAGGCCAGCCTGGTCTACAGAACAAATTCCAAGACAGCCAAGGTTACACAGAGAAACCCTCTCTTGTAAGCGAATCCTGGAGGTGGCTTCTTGAAGGAGGCAGTAATGAGCTCATTGAGCTCATGGGTGTGGTCTAGCAGGGTGGGTGCGGATTGGTAGAGACAGGACGCAGGTTCCAGAGCACCCAGACATTAAGAACCTTATGCACCATCCTCGGGTGAATGAAGAGACATTAACAATTTTGGGCCTTGTACATGCCATGCAAATACTCAATACTGAGCTATATGCCCAGCCCTAAAGAATTTCTACAGCAAAAAATCTGGATGTTCTTTCTATGTTAAAGATGGGCCTGAGCCGCATGCCTTTAATTCCAGCACTCGGGAGGCAGAGGCAGGCGGATCTTGGTGAGTTCCAGGCCAGCCTGGTCTACAGAGCGAGAGCCAGGAAAGGCACAAAGCTACACAAGAGAAACCCTGTCTCGAAAACAAAACAAAACAAAAAGATAGGCCTGAGCGCCGGGTGGTGGTGGCACACACCTTTAATCCCAGCACTTGGGAGGCAGAGGCAGGCGGATCTCTGTGAGTTCAAGGCCAGCCAGAGTGAGTTCCAGGACAGGCTCCAAAGCTACACAGAGAAAGCTTGTCTCAAAACAAAACAAAACAAAACAAAAAAATAGGCCTGAACACTGGGAGTGTAGTTCAATTGTAGAACACTGTTCTAGCCCGTGCAAGGCCCTGGGTTCCATTCCCAACACACACATAATCTGCAGAGAAACCAAAAGCATAGACACAAAACCTTGTTATCAAGGGGACTACCCTGGAGTTACTGCAATAGACCACGCAGGAACTGTAAGGTAAGGCCTAGCCTCAGCATATAAGGCATCTAGAGATGGCCGAAGGTCAAGGGAGAGGGCGTGTCCTGTTCCTCAGCACACAATAGCCTTCTGACCCATAGAAATATGACGAAAGAGATGGATTCTTCCTCAGAACAAGGCACATGTGAGCAAGCACATGATGTTTTGCACATAATTATAGGGGATTGTCTTCCCTGAAGCCTCGGGTTACAAACTCAGTTCCCTGGAATTCTAAGAAGCAAAATCACAGAGCAGTAGATGCTGAAGTCTGGCTACTGGGGTCACAGTCTCTCAACTCCACCTCCTCTTGGCTATGTGAGCTTGGCCAAGACCTTGATCTAAAACAGTACCTGGAACACAAATAGCACTCCAGGAATTCTGACTGTTATCATTACAGGTTAAATGAGAGCGCGGAAACCCTTTCTACGGAACTCAACTCTTCACCCCACTCCATCTAGGGGCTCTGGTGTGGGTCCTCCAGCCCAAGCCCCATCACCCAGTTTTCCCATTTCTGGACTTAATAATTCCTTTTTGGTCTGAGTTTCCACTATTCTCAAACCCAGTTATTAAAGAGATTATCATACCCCGGGCATGGTGGCGCTTGCCTTTAATCCCAGCACTCAGAGGCAGAGACAGAAGGCTCTCTGGTCTACAAAGTGAGTTCCAGGACAGCCAGGGCTACACAGAGAAGCCCTGTCTGGAGAAACAAACAAATACAACAACAACAACAACAAAGTTTAGCATACCTCTTGCTTCTCTCTCTTCTCCCCCTCCCTCACTTCCTGCATCCCTTCCTTCCTTGACAAGGTCTCATAGCTAAGACTGGCCAAGAGAGTGCTGAGATGACATGCATGCACCTCCATGCCCAACTAATGTCCTTTTATAAAAGAAAGAAGACCCTGCCTTTCCTGTTAGTTGAGATGCAGTGTTAGGAAAATGAAAACACTGGGTATGGCGGTACTTTGGAGGGGAGACGGGAAGGATCCTTGCCAACTCTAGAATCACACACAACCTCCTCACTGTAACTTGCTAGCCTCTCTCTAAAATGTTCCATCCGTGCTGGGGGTGTGGCTCTGTAGTAAGGCGTTTGCCTAGCAAGTGTGAGGCCCTGGGTTCCATCCCCAGGACCACATAAAACCAGTAAGTGTCTGTAATCCCAACGACGGGGAAGTAGAGGAAGGACAATCAGGAGTTAAGGTTATTTCTAGCTACAAAGTGAGTCTGAGTTCCTGGGTTACACAGTCGGCTGGGTTCTGGTGAGGATGAAGTCACTCTCAAGTCACCTGTCACTAGTGTGCTCAGCATAAGAGAAGTGGAGAAGATTGGTTGTCCAAGATTTTCGCCAGCCAACCTCGTTCAACGCGGCAGCCAACTGGACTCGAAAGACCGCTTGGGGGCGACCGAGAGCCGATAGTTTTCCCTTTAAGGCTGAGGCGGAAGGCCGGAGGCAGAAGGTCTTTGTGTCGGCAGGATAAAAAATGGGGCCTCTCCTTTAAGAGGGCGGGGCCACTGTTATGGCGGCGGCTTCGAATGCCGCCCCGGGCGCACGCCCTTAATCGCTGGGCGACTCTCTCAGCTTCGGCGTGGTCTTAACGAGGCTTCTCTCAGACCCTGCTTCGGGTGGACGGTCGGCCGCACACATCTGGGTCGACTTGGAGGTTGAACCCCTTGAGTCGGATTCGGCCGGGCCAAGCCACCCGCCCGAGCTGGGCCGTCGCTATGGTAATGCCGCGCCCCCGCCGTCTCGGGGGTGGGGGTGGGGGTCCCACCTGCGGGGCAGCCAGACTCCAAGTTTGGGCTCGGTGCTCGGTGAATCTGCTCAGATGGGGTCTGTCTGGGAGGGGCTGCTTGTAGTCTGCAGACCTGGGTTCTAGTCCGGAAGGGCACGCACGCGCAGGAGACCTCCCCCTGCGGACACTCAAGCACACACCTCCTTCCTTCTCCTCTAGTTACTTTCTTTCTCTCTTTGGAGAAATAGTCATCAATCCCGTGTCGTCAAACGTCACTGCCTTTTGGAATCACGCCCCTCTTCCCCCCAACCTTCGTGACCCTCGCATCCTCCCTCCGTCCCACCGAACCCCTGGCTATGGGTTTGACATTCGTCTGAACCTTCTGGCCAGAAAGACTGGGACATCTCACCCTCTTGGGAACTTAGCTTTTGGCCTTTGAACTTGTGTAGAAAGAAACCGGTGGCTTGATTCTCAGAAGCCAGGACTCCATGCTAGGATTTATGGTAGTTTCTTGTGTTGGACAAACCTGGGATGTTGTTATAAAATCCTCAGGCCTGACTTCCAGAGGTGGTGCAGGCATGTAATCCCATCCCTTGGGAAAAGAAAGGATCAAGTTCAAGGTCAGGCCCTGGGGAGATGGCTGAGCAGGAAAGTGTAATTTCCTCTGATGGCCTGAGTTCCATTCCTAGATCACAGGGAGGGAGGAACTGACTCCCGAAAATTGTCTTCTGGTCCCTACACCCACACAGTGGTGCCCCCCACTAAATAAGTATTTTTATAAGAGTTGAAAATTACTTTCATCAACATAATGGATTCAAGGCCAGCTTGGGCTAGTTGAGACCCTCTGTCTCAAAACAAAAAGCCTCAGTGGCCTGCGCCCAGTGCTGACCCTGAAGATCTGCCTTTGCTTCCCTGGGCAGTTGATTCTTTTTTCCCATCCCCCCTTTCTAAGAGTAATTCAAATAGATGATTATATTTTTTTACACGAAAGTATTTTTTTAAGTCTTTACCTAAATCGATCGAATTTCTTCTCTCTTTCCTCCTCCAGTACTAGCCAAACCAAAAACAAACAAATGAAGAGAAAAAAAAGGAAAACAGTACACTTGATAGTCTTGTTAGAGCTGAGGGGGAAAGACGATAAATACAGAATGTTCTTGCAATGTTTCTCCTCCAGCCTGAATTGCTTTGTTTTCCATTTCAGACCTGTAGTTTTCGGAAGCTGTTTGCTGTGGAAGAGGAGTTTGAAGATGAGGTAGGGAAATGTTGGTGATCAGAGGTTGCGAAGAAGCCCTGCAATGGAAACACCCAGGTTCAGGACATTGGGAGCAATCCCGTCAGTGGATATGTCTCTTGTCTTTTTATCTGCGAGAGGCTGGGGGATGTAAATAACAAACTGGTGCTATATGCTTATAGTTTCAGTACTCAAGAGCTGAAGCAGGGAGATAATGAACCCAAGGCCAGCCTCAGCTATATACAGACTGTCTAAGCAACAACAACATATTTAACTTGTTGGGGATTTTTGTTCGTTTGGTTTTCGAGACAGGGTTTCTCTGTGTAGCCCTGGCTGTCCTGGATCTCACTCTATAGCCCAGGCTGGCCTCAACTCGCAGAGATCATATGCCTCTGCCTCTGTCTCCCAAATGCTGGGATTAAAGTGCCACTACCACTGGGCTATATTTAACTGCCTTAAAAACAAAATAAACCAAGTGTGGTAGTGCATGCCTTAGTCCTAGCACTTGGGAGCCAGAGGCAAGAGGATCTCTGTGAGTTTGAGGCCAGCCTGGTCTACAGAGTGAGTTCCAGGACAGGGCCCTGTAGAGAGACTCTGTCTAAAAAAAAAAACCAAAGAAAACAAAACAAAAGGGCTGGGAGTGTGGGCGAGTGGGTGCAGGTGCATGCTCATCTTGAAGCCCAGGCCTCAGTCCCCAAGTGCTGAAGAAAACCAGTGAACCCGGAACTCCAGCATTTGAGAGGTGGAGGCAAACAGAGCAGAAGTTCAAGGTCATCTCTGCTGCATAGAGCATTCAAAGCTATTCTGGGCCACGTGAGATCCTGTCTCAAAAAAAGAAAACAAAAAAACAATTAGCTCCCTAATTGTAACTGTCATGTCTTTAATTATAAGGACCTTTCTGGGAGCTGTCTTGAGGGTGATTTCACTCTCTTTTATAATAGCATACCTGAAGTGGGAAGAGTTTATAGAGAGCCAGAGTCGGGGAGGAGGCAGCACAGTTAGCTGGGTGACTCGAGACCCCAGGGCACCGGCTGGCATGTGAACCATGGCAGATTACTTTCTGGCCTCCCACCGCCTCTCTTCTCTGCTGTGAAGGACATTGTTTTACCTTACACATCCTTCCCAGAAGATAAGAAATTAAATGAGATACAAAGTCAGCATATTGGACTTCTTGTGTAAGCTTTACCCCATGCCACTTAAATGAGAGTTCTGGCAGGGGAATTTCCATAAGTCACTTACTGGCCATGTGAACCAGGGCAAATTTCTTTGTTCTCTGGCCTTCCTAGGCCATTTCCAGCAGGAGCCTTTCATGGTACTAGTGATCAAACCATCGAGCCCCATCCCCAGCCCTTCCCGAAGAGGTATTTCTGGGTTTGTTGTTTGTTTATTTGTTTAGAGACGGGGTCTCTGTGTAGTAAAGACTTGAATTTGAAACCATCCTGCCTCAACCTCTGGAGTGCTGGGATTATAGGCGTGTGACACTGTGCCTGGCTACAGAGGTATTTTAAAGTGCAATCCGAGACTGCCAGACTAGTCTCTGTACACTGTCTTCATGCTCAGAACCAGCCGATATAGTTTCATCTAGGACTAGGACGTGGACGTTTCTACCTTGATCTGCCTGCCTCTGCTTCCTGGTTGCATGCTGGGGTTAAAAGCTCACACTATTGCATGCAGCAGGAGCCACCTTTTGGTTCTCAGTTCGTCTCCTAAACAAATGATGTAGGGATAAGGGCCCAAGTGCGTTCTAGCTGTAGCTCTTGACCAGTCCAAGTCTCAGGTTCTTCTTCTTTTTTTTAATTGTATGTATGTATGTATTATGTATATGTGTCCATGTCCGTGTCCGTCTGTCCGTGTGTGTCCTTGTGTGTCCGTGCGTGCGTGTGTGTGTGTGTGTGTGTGTGTGTGTGTGTGTGTCCGTGCGCACTACATGTTCATGTAGATGCCCATGGAAGCCAGAAGAGGGCATTGGATCCCCTGGAGCTGAAGTAAATAGTTTGAATCACTGAACACAAGTGCTGAGATCTGAACTCAGGTCCTCTGGAAGAGTAGTAAGTGCTCTTAACCACTGAGCCATCTCTCCAGCCTCAGCAAGTCTCAGTGTCTGCATCCATAAGATGAGGATTATCCATAGAATAATCATAACACCTATTCACAGGGCCATTGTAAGAATTCACTGAAGATTCTAGTAAAATACCTGCCTGGCACCTGACACCCAATGGAGTTACAAGTGTTTGTTGTTTTTGTTGTATGAAACGTCATCTTTGTGTTAGAAAGTTATTCAGTTCCTTTTTCTTTTTCTTTCTCTCTTTCTCTCTTTCTTTTTTCTTTCTTTCTTTTTCTTTTTTTTTTTTTTGAGATAGTGTCTCACTGTGTGTGTGTGTGTGGCCCTAGCTGTTTTAGAACTAGCTCTGTAGACCAGGCTGGCCTCGAACTCAGAGATCCACCTGCCTCTGCCATCCGAGTGCTAGGATTAAAGGTGTGCGCCACCACTGCCTGGCTTCTGTTTTGTTTTGTTTTTCACGATAGGGTTTCTCTGTGTAGTTTTGATGTCTGCCCTGGATCTTGCTCTGTAGCCCAGGTTGGCCTCAAACTCAGAGATTCACCTGGCTCTGCTTCCCGAGTGCTGGGATTAAAGGCGTGTGCCACCACCGCCGGCATTCTGTTTTGTTTTTAATGAGACAGTCTCAGTTAGCTTGGGCTGACCCCAAATTGCTGTGTCGCTGAGGAGGACATTGAGCTCCTGATCCTCCCGTCTCCAGTCTTCGTGCTGGGATTGTAAGAGTGGACCATCACACCCAACACTGCCAGCTTTGTCAAGGGGTGTCCCTGTCTCTAACTTCGGTGTTGGAGATGTGTCATTAGAGGCTGAAGAGGAACTGAAATGACCCTCTCGGTCCGTCACAGGTGACAGTAGAGCAGCCAGGGTCGTAATGGAATTAGGGGGAATGATTCTGACTGTTCACATTTTCGTTCCTTAAAAATGGCAGACTGGTCCCTTTCTCACTTCCCAAGGCAAATGATGTTACAGCTGAGTGTCAGCTCTGTGGGAAGAGAGGGGACCATCAGTCCTCAGGGTGGTCAGGATCTGATCATTGTTGTCACTGTGGTCCTAAGATGGTGTGGCTGGAGTGTGGCACTCTTGAAGACATCTAAAGCAGTAAAAACCTCTCTCTAGCCCAGACACTCAGAGCCGCAGCAGGGCTGGGGGTGGATAGCACCTTCCTGTCACTTAATCAGCAGTTCTGACTCAAAACACCCTCAGAACAGGTCTGTTGCTCTGGAAGGTGGCAATCTCACCTTGCTTCCCAAATGCAATGCATACTTAATTTAACTTGCCTGAGAAGCTATATTTAACTTGTGTCTGTTTGGCTGGATCCAGGGGCTCTCTGTCTTACTGAAGACTGTGGGTGTGAGTGTGTGTGGTGGAGGCAGGGAATGTACTAAGGACAGGCTGCAGGCCGGCTGGGTAGCACCCACTGCCCTAACTGAACACTAGCCAGTCTCCTTCACACAAGTATGTGACCTTGTGGGGTGCCTACCTTTCCTGTTGCTTTCCCAGTAGGCCTCCGGGAGACTGAAGAGTAACCACCTGGACCTGTAGCCTTCTGACAGGAGCCTGGTGACCCACTGGCTCCTAGGAGGATCAGAGGCCGTGAGAAATGTCATCATTGTCTTGGGTTCTTGTGTGTGTATCTGCACACACACACACACACACACACACACACACACACTATGCTTAAACAGTAAAAGGAGAACTTTTTATTTTTATTTATTTTTTGGAAGCAGTTTTAAGTTTCCAGATGCAAAGACCCTGCCAAATGTGATAGCACTGTCCTATAATATCTTCACTTGGGTAGGTGGAGACAGAGAGTCGGGAGTTCAAGGTCATCTTCAGCTACATAGCAAGTTCTACAAGGCCAGTCTGAGCTATGTGAGATACTGTCTCAAAAACAAACAGCTGGGGGGTGGTGGGGGGTGGGGGTGCACGACTTTGATCCCAGCACTCGGGAGGCAGAGCCAGGCGGATCTCTGTGAGTTCGAGGCCAGCCTGGTCTACAGAGTGAGATCCAGGAAAGGCACCAAAACTACACAGAGAAACCCTGTCTTGAAAAACCAACCAAGCAAAACCCTGACAACAGTCCTGCTTTCTCTGTTTCTTTGTAGGACTTCTTATCTGCTGTGGAGAATGCAGAGAACCACTTCGCTGGTGCATTGCCTGGGAATGCTGGGCACCCGACACCTGTTTCTTCCAGACCACCCGAGACTCTGCAGGCACGATCCTCAAGACCCTTGCCACCACACCCCACTTCTTCGAGCCGGGCAGGCCCAGGACTCTGTCTCCCTACTCCCAGCATACCCCAGACTGTCAGGGATCCACTTTGTTCAGGAGCAGTGTCCCTAAGACCCGTCTCGGTCTCTAGCAGCAGCATGGGCAATCAGCAAAGAACAACTCTAAGAAAAGTGCTCCAGGAGTCACTGGGACCCCAGGCCTCAGCCGCACACTCTGGCCTTATCTTTGGGAGCCATCAGCAGGGCTTTGGTGGCTTTGAGGCACCCGACCAAGATGAGTTTGACAAGGCCTTGGCAAGCATGGAGCTGGAGGGAGATGGCTTGGAGCCAGAACTTGGAGTTGACGGTGGAGCCACGCATATCCTACCTGCTCAGCACCATGAGGAACCACAACTGGCAAAAAAGGCCAGAGTGGCCGACCTGAGTGGATCTTTCCAGAAGGGGCCTATTATCCGCTGCAGGAATCCAGGGCCTTCCTTGAGACCTCCAGCCGCAGGCAGCCTTCCTCTCCCATCTGCCTCAGCAGTTTCCACTTCCCATCGAAGAGACTCCCCTTTTCCTGCACCTCAGCCTCACCAAGTAGCTGGGAGACCCATTCAAAACAGCCCACAGCATTGTTCGCCTGGTCAGCCATTTCAGTCTCCCAGAGCTTGGTCAAAGGGCACACCCCGTTTTCCTGGACTTGGACGTCCTCACTGCAGCCCTACAGCGTTTCCTCGGGGACCCTCGCCATCCCGAGCCCCCATGTCTTCAGTTGACTCTCCTGTCAGCACCCCGAGAGTTGCTCAGCCAGCTCTGCAGACACCTGTGGTCACCAACCACCTGGTTCAACTGGTCACTGCTACCAACCGGACACCCCAGCAGCCCTCCCGCTCCTCCGTTCGAGCTAAAACCCGCCGCTTCCCTGGCCCTGCAGGACTTCTACCTCACCAGGTGAGTGACCAGGTTTCCAGGACACTGGGATCCAGGGAAGGAAGGAAACAGTGGTCCAGTCTTCGACCGTCTTCACGGCCAGAAGACCGGCAGGAAGAAGGGGGAGGAAGCGTTTGCAGCCTGGAGGGATGGTTCAGCTGGTGCATCACTGTGCATCACTGTGCATCTCTGTGCATCACTGTGCATCACTGCTCCCTGTGCGAGCCTGAGCTGCAGAGCCCATGTGAAAAGCAGGTCAAAACCGGCACAGAGACACATGCCCGTAGTCCTCACTCTGGCGAGGAAATGAAGTCTCCTGGGGTTCACTGACCAAGCAGCCTAGCTTACCGGAGAAGCTCTAAGACAGCGAGAGACCCTGCCTCAGAAAACAAAGTGAGGGCTGGAGCGATGGCTCAGAGGTTAAGAGCACTGGCTGTTCTTACAGAGGACCTGGGTTCAATTCCCAGCCTCCTCATGGTAGTTCACAGCTGTCCTGTCTGTAACTCCAATCCCAGGGGAGCTGACCCCCCTTTTCTCACCTCTGTGAGCACCAGGCACACACTTATATGCAGGCAAAACAGCCATACAATAAAATAGTAAATAATTGTAAAAAGTAAAAAACAAGGTAAATGCTGCCTCAGGTCTCCCTAGGAGTATATCTGAGGTGGTCCTCTGGCCTCCACATGTGTGCACAGGCACACACACACACACACACACACACACACACACACACATATGTAAAAAATAGGTTTGCAAAGCTGTGAAAGTCAGAAGGGGGAGGGAGGAAGGGGTGGCTTGGAGGTCCAGTGCTTACCTCGCGGACACACGGCCCCGAGTTCCAGCCCCAGCACTGCCGGGTGGGAACCGGCTTGACTATAAGGGTTTCTTGAGTTAGATTCACTGAGGTGGGGAGCCCCTGGGCTGGGGTCCTGGACCGAACAAAAGGAAAGTAGCACTGGTTTATCACCCACTGCTTCCTGGTGGGGAGTAGTGTGACCAGCTGCCTCAGGCTCTTGTCACGGTGACTTCCCTGCCATGATCAAGTGTCCCTTGTAAGCCAAACTAAACGTTTCCTTAAAAAAAAAAAGTGGGCAGGAAGAGTGCTTTCAAAATCCACCTGGGAAATAGTGCTCGCGAGTCTGTTGTTTGCCAGCCGTGACAGGATGTTTTCTCACTCGTGTTAGCCCAGAGGCAGATACTGGGCAGTTGATTTAGGGCTGAGACTAAACCTGCGCTGTGGTAGAAGAAGAAGGTGGGTGAGGGATCCTGTACCAAGGGTCTTTGCTTGGCTCTGCCTCGGCCTTGCTCGATGGCCTTGGGTAGATGACCAGGAGGGTAAAGGGGCGGGTGGGGACTGTGCTTGGGTTGATCCAGTGATGGGAAGACAGGATGAAGAACAGGTACTCCAGAGATCACAAAAGCCTGAGGAAGCCGGGGCTGGAAGTGAAGCACCCCTGCAGGGTTTATATGTAAGGGGCGGAAGCTTTGCTCTGGCTGCGTGGGTTTCTTTCTGATGGGGAGTCCACAGTCCCTCTCCTTGCTTGTTCTTCCTGGCCCTTCACGAGAAACCCAGCGGGGTGGTCTGCTCTCTCCTGTAAGGGCCTCTGGGAAGGCTGCTCAGCAACTCATCACAGACTCCTCTGTGTGGGTCACTGCCCCCTTCAGGCAGCGCCGGGCCTTGCTTCTGGACCAGCTCCAGTTGCCTTACATCCCCAAACTGATCCCCAAAGTGTCTTTTTAAAGCTCCCAATGAGGCTCCTGAGACTGCGTTAGGAGCGATGTCAGTGTGCTAATTGCCCTTGATGGTTTCCTGAACTCATTATGTAACCCCGACAAGACGCTGTACTTGTAAATAGCAGCTGCTGAGCTTGCTCTCGCCTTCTCTTCCCCCTTAGCAGAGCGGGAAGAATTTGGAGGAGATCATGGTTTCCACACCCCAGACTCCGACTCATGGTGCCCTGGCTAAACTCCAGACTGAGGTAACTTCTTCTGTGTGAATCTCCACTTGTTGGGCGATATCCGAAAGTGAGGGGCACCTTGCGTGCCTCAGTTGATGCTGCCAGGCCTACACCAAAGGGCAGGCGGAAAAGCAGCTGGGGAGGCAGCAGGTTTACAGACCTAGAATGAGGCCTGTGCTGCCGCCATGGCTCAGCCTTCTCTCCATCTGAGAACTCGAGGCCCACCTGGCTGCCTCGTTCCCTAGGGAGGAGAGTGTAATCCGTCCTATGAGATGGTATCTTGGGAACCCTCTCGGGTTTCTGGGAGCTGAGCTGGGGAAGATCCGCCCTCATCCTGTCTCCAGGAGGTTTCCTTTTAGTGGGTAGGCCCAGCTTCTCTCCTCCTGGGGCTCTGACTGACTCTGTCTTCAGACCCACCTCTGCTTTTCATCCTCTCGGTGTTGCCTTGTGCTGCAGCTCCCCGAGGCTGCCCATCCACTTCAGATCCAAGCCTGGTGGTAGTCGTCTGGATTCAAAGCCATTGTTGATATAAGACAACTAATGGTTAAAACCAGGGGCATTCTGGGAATGGTGGTGCACACCTTTAATCCTAGCACTTGGGAGGCAGAAGCAGGTGGATCTCTGTGAGTTTGGGGCCAGCCCAGTCTACAAAGTTTCAGGACAGCCATGGTTGTTACTTGTTACACAGAGAAACCTGCCTTGGGGGAAAAAAAAAAAAACCAGGGGCATCTACTAAAAACAAACAGAGCCAGGTAGTGGTGGTGCTTGGGAGGCAGGGGCAGGTGTTTTCCAAGTTCGAGGCAGCCTGGTCTACAGAGTAAATTCCAAGAGAGCCAAAAACAGAAAGAAAAAAAAAAAGAAAAAAAACTTAGGACATCAAATAAAATATGACTGGGCCGGGCAGCGGTGGTACATGCTTTTAGTCCCAGCACTCAGGAGGCAGAGCCAGGTGGATCTCTGTGAGTTCAAGGCCAGCATGGTCTACAGAGTAAGATCCAGGCTGGGGCAGTGGTGGTACACGCCTTTAATCCCAGCACTTGGGAGGCAGAGCCAGGCAACTGTGAGTTCGAGACCTGCCTGGGCTACCAAGTGAGTTCCAGGAAAGGTGCAAAGCTACACAGAAAAACCCTGTCTCGAAAAACAAACAAACAAAAGATCTAGGACAGGCACCAAAACTACTTGGAGAAACCCTGTCTTGAAAGAAAAAAAAAAAAGACTAGAATCAAAATGACCAAGATGCTCTATAAGCCTATAAATATATACACAGAGTCCCTACTCCTAAGACTTCCAGAAACTTATAAGGGAGATGTCTGGGGCTGGAGACATGCTTAGCAGTTAAGAGTCCTTGATGCTTTTGCGCTGAACCTTTGTTTCTGCCCCCAGCATCCACACCAGGTAGCTCATGCCGGCCTGTAACTCCAGCTGCAGACAATCCAGCGCCCTCTTCTGGCCTTTGTGAGCACCTGCATGCACATGTGTGCATACACACTCTCAGGCCATATACATACCCGTAAAATAAATAAACCTTTAAAAACAGAAGATGATAGATAGCCTTTGCTTCATTGTAATTCTGTTCTGGCTGCTTAGTGGCGGATGCGGGGTGCAGCCAAGTCACATGCCACTTTCTGTTCATTATGAGAATTAAGAGGCATACCCCCACCCCCACCCTAGGAACTCACTGTTTCCCTCCCTGCTCTGCCTCAGCCAAGGGTCTTTCTCAAGGTAGATGCACTAATTCAGGCTCCCCTCTGCTCTGTGGTACCAGAATGTTGCTAGTTCCCAGGGATCGGTGGAAGAAGATTTTGGGCGAGGGCCCTGGCTCACCATGAAATCTGCTCTGGGCCTGGATGAGCAAGACCCCACCTGCTTCCTCTCTACCTACAGTATTGTCATGGTGCTGCGCAAGGTAAGGGTCTAGAGAACAGAGACTACTGCCTGCTCCACCTCAGAAAGAGGCTGTCTGCCCCCTCTTAGCCTAGTCCTGTCCCCAGAAAGCAGCTTGAAGTCCCTTTGGTTGTATATTTACACTGTCCTCCACAGTGCTGAGCAGTTGGGCATCCTCTGCATACTAGATTGAGAGACAGGGATTGAGAGTGGTGGCCTCTCATATTCAGATGCATGTTGGTACATGTGTCAGTAAATCTCCACTTGTGGCCTGCCATGATGGAGTGAGCCGCAAAAACGGATACAAAAGGAAAGACAGACACCTCAGAGAGAAAGAAGGACCTGCCGGCCTGGGCCTCTATAGGGAGCAGAAGTGTGCCCCTCCACCTGCCTTGACCTGCCCCAAAGGAGAGCTGTTACCATCCCCTGGTTGCCATGGGGAGTTACATGTGGGCATGGCTAGCTCAGCGAATGTGTCTTCTTGGGAGCAGGCAGCCCTCAGGCAGCTCCCCAGGAACAAGGTCCCCAACATGGCAGTGATGATCAAGTCCCTGACTCGGAGCACAATGGATGCCAGCGTGGTTTTTAAGGACCCCACAGGTAAGGAGGAGTCTTGGGTGTCTTACCAGTGACCTCCATTGAGGTCAAGAGATGAGCAGCCCAGTTCCCAGCCGGAGCTCAGACCCTTTGCTGTGCCCTTGACCCTGAGACGGAGGCCATGTGGTTTTTGCAGGAGAGATGCTTGGGACAGTTCACAGGGTGCTTCTGGAGACACACCAGAGTGAGCTGAAGCCTGGCTCGGTGCTGTTGCTGAAGCAGGTAGGGGAGCTCCAGAAGGGACCCGCTGCAGGGAGGAGCCCCAGGGGGTCCCTGCGCCTGGCTGGCTGACTTCCCTCCATTGCCAGCCAAGGGGAAGCGAGGCCCTGGTTTGCTGGAACCGAGAGCAAACCTCAGGCTACCATCAAGGATAAATGGGGATGGGGAGTTGTGCTGGGGGTGGTGAGTGGTTCTGTTAGCACCAAGGTCAAGGAGGGGTGAGTGTGAGCTTGGTGCAGAGGACGGGAAGCCTAGGAAAGCTGGTTCCTGGTGGTCATCCAATAGCACCCTACAGACACTGACTCCCCTTCCTAATTCCAGATTGGAGTATTCTCTCCTTCACTCAGAAACCATTACCTCAACGTGACACCCAACAACCTGGTCCATATTTACAGTCTAGATTCTGGGGACGGGGACTTCCTCAAGGCACCTCAGCCCTCGCCCAAGGTAAGTGGGTCAGGATAGACAGACGGTGACTGGCAGAGCTTTCCTGCCTGGTTTCTTTCATTTCTTCCTCTCCGAATCCCTGGAGGCAAAGATGTGAAGGGAGCAGGTTCCACTGAGGTGAAGAGGTGCCCTCGGGAACAGGAGTATCCGCTGCCACTGTTCCAGCCGCCTGCCAGCAGGCTGAGTAACAGGACCTAGGGAGCAGCTGGCTTCCAGGTGATCCCTGAATGTCTACGGGCAGACTTGATCATCTGAGAAGTCAAGAGTCACCTGAGAACCTGGCGAGGGACCCTGGGGGTGGTGGCAGAAAAGGAGAGAGGGTCGACTCTGCGCCAAGTGGCCGCACAGAGAACAGGGGGTACAAATGGCCTGTCAGGTCAGCTGGCCTTTGCTCTGAGACTTCCCTCCTGGTCTCTGCCTCTGCTGGGCATGCGCTGGAGCGCACCCTTGAGGAACTGAGGCAAACATTTGGTGTCTTGTGGGAGCTGAAGACAGCTCCGGGCAGGTCTACCCAGGCTGGATCCTGCTGACTCCACCCTTAGGATCCTGGCCTGGAAGAAGGCAGGAGACCTGGGTCTTGTCCAAGTTCTGCGAAGACTTTCTGCTATGACCTTGGGCAAGCCCTGTCCCTTCCCCTGGCTTTGCACTATCTATGGAACAAGTGTTTGACTTGATGACCTCCAGTCACTGTGGCCCTTTATCTCTGGTTTTCTTCTAACATTTCCTCCTCTTCTGTGGACCCTTTTGTATGCCCTCATGGTCACCCCACCTCTATAACCTCATTTCTCTTTAAAATTTGTCCGTCCTTTTGTTATGTGTAGGGTTTTTCTGTTTGATTCTTTTTTTAAAGATTTACTCGGTTTATTTTACGTGTGAGTGTTGTGTCCGCCTGTGTGTATTTATGTGTACTATGTGTTCTTGGTGCCTGTGGAAGCTGGAAGAACTCCTGGAACTGGAGTTACAGATGATTGTGAACCACCATGTAGGTGCCGGGAATTGAACCTGGGTCCTCTAGAAGAGCAACGTGTGCTCTTAAACGCTGAGCATTTTCTCTGTCCTTGATAACAGCTTATTTTTAATATCAGGCTAACTCCTCAACACACTGGCAAATGGCTTCTGTACCTTCTGTGGTGGTTATACAGAGTCCCTCAAACACTAGGCACTGATAGAATTTGGAAAGGTCAGCCCAGAGGTCTGTTTTGGTTTAGTTATCTGCTGTTTTGGGTGTTTGGTATTTCATCATCTCTCTCCCTCAGCTTGGACCTGGGTGATCCCGGCCCACACCCCATTCCCTTATCGTATCTTTGTTCTGAGAGGCCCTCCCTTTGAGGTCATCTGGGTAGAGGCAACCCCACCCCAGGGGTTTCGGGGACACTGAGCACTTGTAACCAGATCCACTGTCCTCAGGATCTAGGAAGCTTCCATGGAAACCTCCAGCCTGATGTGGCTGCAGAGCCCACACCGGGCCTCAGAACAGCCCAGAACTCAGCAGTGTCTCCTGAGGAAGAGCTCCCAGAGGCAGGTAAGGCACATACGCCCTCAACATCCTCTGGCCTCACTCAGCGAGAGTGCCTCTGCGCAGCTGCCCCTCCCACCTCCCGCTGTGCATCTGTGGGCTGGTCCAGCAGTTTCCAGCGGTCAGCGGCTGTCTTTTCTGCAGGCCTGCAGGCCTGGTTCAGAGCTGTTACACTCTTGTGACAGTGGGTAGAAGCCGTAGGAAGCACACAGAGTGTGGTCCATCGCTCCCCCGTTTGCTGGCAGGACCTTCGGCTGCCGAAGGGAACGTCACCAACCCCTGAGTGCATGGCCCAGTTTGTGTCCTATTTCAGGTCCTCTGAGCAGATCATGGAGGCAGACTTCCCACTCAGAGGCTGCAGAAGGAGGGCCAAGGAGTCACATATCCATGTGGCCAGAGGGACGGGGACACAAACCTGAGAGGCTCAACTGGAGCTACCCTCAGGTGGAGCCCTCATGTCCCAGTCACTTCCTTAGCTGTCGGTTTCAGAAATTCAATCCTGCCTGGCCTGGAGGCAGTAGGATTATGGGTAGAGGTCTCACCCCAGCCACATTCGCAGTATACCAATATGTAAACCACAAAGCCCATTTGTTTAGATCCCACATTGCTGGAGTCTTGTGTTGTCTGGAATCCTGCACTCTCTCCTTGTAACTGAGCCTGCTGCTGACCCCACTGCTGTCTGAAGAAGCTGCTGGTGGTCCCAGAGCGAGTGAGGAGAGCTGGCTGTGGAGCGGCGCTCATGTCGCATTGTACCCCTCTACAGGGCTGAAGACAGACATGATTCCTGCTGCCGTCTCCTGAGAGCCCAGCCTTCACCCGGCTCCTCCCCTTCATAGCACAGCGCCACAGGGCAACTTCTGGGTTTTGTGACAAGAGTTTTCTATGTAGTCCTAGCTGGCCTCAAACTCACAGCAGTCCTTTGCCTTAGCCTCCAAGTGCTGGCCTTAAAGGCAAGCACTGCCATGCCCAGCCCATTGGGCAACTTTTTCCTTGCTGTAAGCAAATAACAGCCCCGCCTGCCCTGAATACAGTGCTCATCACCTTAATTAAACTTCGAATGCTCCCAATCTACCTTCTCCTTTTCCTCCCAGCAGCAGCTACTGAGTGCTCTGGCCAGACCTGGAGCGGGGCTCCTGGGTGTAGTTTACAGTCTGACTTGGGGCGGGGGGAGTGG